GGCCCGTTAGATCAGCGGACATAAAGAGGCTAATTATGTTCGACCACCAGTGATTTCGCAGTTGGGCTCATGTCGGATGGGAACAGCGCGCGAGCATTGCGCGTGTTAAACACCTTGTTTACCGCACAGGAAGAGGAAATGAACCGCTGAGCACGGTTATATCAGACACCAGGCTCCGATCACCGGGCCACGTGTTGCGCATGCCAGCTTCCTGACTTGCGCGAAGTGCGTTGTTTGCGGTCCGGGGGTGCGGATGGAAGAAGAGGAGGAGTGGTCAAGCAATGACTTGGCAAAGAGGAATGAAGGCCCTTATTTCGAGGTTTGCGTCGGTTGGAGCCTCTCGGCTCCCTAGTTGGGGACAGAAGGACGATGAACATGTTTGGTTGGATACACTTGTTATGGCTAGTAGCTGACCCCAATGAAGTTCGTATTGTGAGTTCCTTTGTCCCTTCCCCTCCCGCTTAGCCTGTCTCTCCAACCACGATCTCATTTACTAGGCATAGTGTAACTTTGCAGCATAATAGCTGACTGTTAGCTCTCCGGAATGATGTCCATCCGTTACCGGTGACAGCTGGCGTGGCTCCGTTGCGCAAATTTTCCTTCTTTTGTCTTGCGGCACAATAGCTGAAGTGCAGTTAACGTGTACGATAAATGAATGCGCTATAACGGCCTGTCTGCTGAGCATGAGCTGTGGCAGCTTGCTATGGCGTGCTCTTCGAACGAGCATTTGTTGCAGTTTCAACCTTTTAGGGACACGTTTTGCTCGGTGAATCTTTGTCTGCCTTTATCATTCCCTGGCAGAAAGAACGGTCAATACGGTAGGCAAATAGGGATTTAGACAAAATCATATCTGCTTTGTTATCCACGAAGTTTGAACTAAGCGCTGTCGCAGATGGCGAGCCACCGCGAACAGTTTACTTACGAAGGAACGATGTTTCGATGCTGCTGACAGTTGTATGCACAATTTGACTGAGCGCTCCACTATCATTCCATGTCGCAAAAGATAGACTACCGAGCGTTGGAAAGCTGAACCCAATGAATTACATCCATTGTTTTAAGTGATGTGAGAAGGACTGGAACATAACATCATGGTGGCTCCTAACAGATGAAAGCCTGATGCACAATTTTCAAGGAGGACTTATGACTAGATCCCGCGCTACTTGCTGATTGTAGTACAACAAACCTACCGAAGTGAATAAGACTATTGAGATGCCGGCTGTGGCAAACTTTGATGTACGAAGATCCCAGGATAGGGCTTCCACAAACACATTCTGATAAAATCTCAGGCGCTAAGTATTAGCGATCAATTAACGGGGCAGCTGTTCCCGTGCCCTAGTGGAAGGGAATTACACAAAAAACTGCACACAATGATTTATTCAACTGCAAGAATCGAACGGTTTATTCCATTGTACTGTGTCCTAACTCCTAATCGTATTTGACCAACATTAATGGCAGTCGTGTTCTGTAATCACCAGTTGTGAATGAGGAGATCTAATTACATCAGCAGTCTCCATACATTTTCTGGGACCTCGCCATCACTCATTCAGTATGCCACCGCTGAGGAACCGCTCGACAAACGTGCCATCAATGTCACACTAAGTTGCTTGAAAGTAACGTACAGTAACAGGTCCTTATTTGTTTTACCAACATTAAAGACACGCTGGATGTATGGAACAGGTCACTCTCTAGCAGTATGTCTGTTCTTCAAAAGGAGGATGAAGGAGGATATCCATATGGCAATTTATAGTCTGGTTAGCGATGTAAGCTAACAGAAGTGACGCACTCAAAAATTGGTAAAACTGGGTTAGAGAATAGTTATTAGTTTAGTATGGTTTACCTGCTAAAGTCCGAGAGTTCCAAAAGCAACGCTTTGCACCCCATAACGAATCCGCTGATTGAGATGAAACCAATCCCCATATTAATTAACGTACAAAACCACTCGTGTTTTAGCCGCTTTCATACATGAGGACAAAAATGGATGCGACAAGCCCCAGACACGTTGTATTCCCAGAACCCTCCCCTGAAATGCAACTAACATCCGAGGGGGGCTGGGTGCGGAGGTCGAACGACAAGAGCCGGTGGCTCGATAGGCTCAAGATGAACCGAAAGTAAACTTATAGAGCGCCAATGGACGCTTTTGCAACTCACCAAACAGGAGATCAGCGTTACGCCAGCGTTTCGACGCCGCGCAACCACTACCAATTGAATGTGGGCTAAGGATGTTGCGAGGGTCGTCAGATTCCCTACGCATGCTCGAGCCCGCGACCTCAGGATTACAAGGCAGGCTTGTGATTTGTAAGGCTACCGGGTCTGCACTCACTCCAAGGGGATTCATAACAACGGGACAACATGGGTGGTTGGTCTCTATAGTGGTCGAGTTATTTGTGAGAAAAATTCACGAATCGGAGTAGCGATAGCCGCAAGGAAGCTGCCTGCGACCATGCGCTGCTGGCAAGGTGCAGACATATTGAATGAGACTGAGACTGTATTTAAGAGCAAGTAGAAAGGTTTCTGTACAACTCTATCGAATTATGAAAAATCAAAATGTACTTGTGAATTATCAGCAGTTGTGCCTGGTCCGTTAATCGTTTATCCGTGTTCGGTTAGAAATTTGTACTAGCGTCATTATTTCCGGACATACAATGTCTTCTTTTGGCACTGTATATGCATCGTCTCACAAAAGCATAGGTTTCCAAAATAATCGTCGATACGGGTTTTAAAACACTTCACAGAATCGGCCTCTATTAATCCTTCAGGTAGTGTATTCCATAAGTTTACGATTCTTCGTTCGAATGCTTGGTCAGGGTGATTAAGGGTTGCAACAGGTGGCTATTCTTCCACACTTTCAATTCACATTAGTAAAAGGTGTAATGGCGATTTGGTGGCGAAGCACCGGTAAAATCCTGATGTACCGCTGTTGTTGCTACTAATGAGACTGATTCTCGAACACGATCTTCGACGCCCACATAGGCAAACATGAAAAATTAGGGCACGATTTATGAAACTATAATTATTACTTGAAAAGGTTTGTTGCACGTCGAAGTACAGTACTTCTGCTACGCCTAAACACCAGAAAATCGAGGTCACTTCCTCTCACGAACTTATGGTACTTAAGATCAACAACAAGAATGCGATCAGGAAAACCAAAGCTAATACCGGGGGCTCTGTAGTGCCAAGACAACGAAAATGAACGGAACACTTTCAAAAACAAAATGACTGAAAATAAACCGAAAGAGACGTAGGAAGTAGATGCTTAGCTTGTGGTATTAAATTCATTTATTGTGGCGGTCAAGTTGAGTGTTTTGTCTTGCAGGTTAAGAACGCCACACCGTGAGAAATCATTTAATCTTCCGCTATTTGGTTATTTTCTATTTTATTCACCCAAAGATTTATCTCAAGTATATGACTACATGCACTGGCCACGGCATCCGGAAGAGGTGGGACTCGGTAAACATGGAAATGAAGTACTATTACGGATATTATTAGTGAAAAGAACAGAAAATAGCTAGTTGTGACGAAAGTATACAGCGCGCTTAGATTCATGTAAGCAGGGCGAAGATATTGGGTGGAGGAGACACACAAAGGAAAAGTTGTCCCAAAAGTATTAAAAAGGAGACGCTCTCTGGATGGTCAAACACTTGATTTTATGCGTGATATAAGTTCCAAACAGTTTAGTGTGACCAAATGACAGCCCACTAATTGGAGCTGGATAAAAGCCTAAGAAATGAACTACTGCGTAGTCAATGTTACAAAGTGCTTGGCCAAGCTGAAAGCCGCACACAGAGACGAATTAGGTAAGTAGAGAATGAAACAATGGCTAAGGCGTAGCATACAGTAAAATACATTACTTATAAGAGAATTTTGAAGAGTTGGGGGCAAAAATCAAATGCCGACTCCTAATAAACGGTTTGGCGCCTTTTGTGATGAAAAGCGAATTATAAACCTTTATGCGACAAATAGAAAAGTTGCAAAAAATATACGAAATTAGCAATAATTGGTGGGATAAACAAGTGAGAGATGTGAACAAATGGTTAAATAACAAAAGGATGGTAGCAGCATTCACCACGTATAGAAAAATCGCACAGTCGGAATGAGTCTTAGGTGGGAAAAAGGCCATCGTCGAAGCGCAGCGTGCCGAATAGAGTATCGATGGAATGAAACGAACGAAGGAAGATCCAAAAGTCGCATTACTACCACTAATACAGACAGAATACCGTGTCGAGTGCTGCATTTGAACAATACGAAATCATCAAAAACATAAAGGAAACCATGATCGGTGGTACTTACTAAGTAGGGTTACGGGTACTTAGTAAGTAGGGTTACGGTTTCAAGTGGGTTAGGATACAACTAGGATTTCAAACTCAAACAGAACACTAGGTACAGATGAGAGCATAGGCAAGTGTGGAACAATGTGTTCGAAAATATTCTTCACTCTGCAGTAAGCACCCATCCAGCCCGTGGTTAGTTTGATACTAAAGAACAGAGGCAGATGGGTCTAGCAAGATGTAACTGCACCGGGCGAACAATAGCACCTACGCGAGCGACAGGTCACCAATCGTTGACTTCATGGGAAGTGGAGGAGGAGGGTATGATGCACAAACACTAAGTGGTCAAAGTAGCAAGATAACGGTCGCAAATGTGAATCGGGAGCAAGAGTGCTGGTGTTGGCTGGACACAAAACAAACGCGTACTGATTTAACAAGAAATGAACAATTATTAGGACAGAATAGACAGGCCGATGTCCCCAACTCTGATGAGATGCCCGCAAAAAGAGGAACCAGGCAATGAGATTTGCGGAAACGCAGTAGGTGAGAAGAGGCATTATAAGGGCAGGCAAATTTGGAACGGTGCAAAACTCGAAGTTGGTCAATGAAGACGGTTTCGTATCACACAAGCACAAGGCTAAACACAACCAAGTCCTAATCTTAGACTGGTGTAGGGACCGTGAAGTATGCATGCGAGTTCCAAAAAGAAAGACAAGAGAACAGGAAACTCAATCACTAACCTGTGATTCGTTTTGTCACAATGTTCGGCCGAATGTACAAGTCCTTTAAACGGAACGCCCCCTTGGCATGATCCACAATCAGCTGATCCTGTTCGACCAGATTAGCTCGCTCTCGCTCCTCAGCTTCACGTGATCGATACCGTTTGAGAACCTCTTTGATGATGCGATATGTATTATTTAAATTGGTCGCGGGGATAGTGGCTTCACCATGACGTCGAAGATTGGACGCCCTGTAAGTCATCTCCTTGATATAGGTTGCTTCAGGATTCTTAGGGGAAAATAGGGTGACGAAAAAGTACGGTGGTCTACAAGATGCAGCCAAGAGATTCGCAAGGAAAATATACTAATGAAACGTGGGTTATACAAAGAAGAAAATAGACAGGAATGACAATCTCCCGGTCACCGCAGATTACAACTAGAAAGTCTCTGTTTCGTCCAGAGAAACTGTGTTGAAAGCCTGATGGTCAGGTATGGAAATAAATGTGTAGCGCAAACACACAAAGTAACATCGACCACTGTTGGCTGACATCATTACGCACAGAGCCGAAGTGGATTATGAGAAAGGTTGCGCAACCAGATTCTGAAAACGCTGTGAAGGCGGTATGAGGCCGACTGTGTGAACACCACGGAAGACCGGCTCAAGAGGATAATAAGCACTTAATAGTTGCGAGTTTGTCGTTAGCCAGAGTGCGGTACATGATACGGAGGGAGAGTTACAAGAAACCAACTTGGATGGGACAGTGGAAACAGTTCATTAAGAATTTACTGTGCAACTGCAATCGAAGGGCGTGGTCTGGATGCCGGAGCAGTGTCATCATGAAATAGCTACTTCATATCGTAGGATTACGAAGGTCAACGAAAGCCAGCTCCTCATGGGAGATCATGAGGCGTTAGGGACACATGTCGTCGAGATGGAGAAATTCCAGTAAGCCAATCCATCCGATCCGAGCGACTGGTGGCAAAATGCCGATACTCAACGGGGTTTATGAGGAATACAGCAGTGAAGCAATTCACAGTTGTAGAACAATCGAAATGGCCGTTTAACTGAAAACCAGTGCTAGCTAGTCCCCTCTTAGGCAGCAACAGTAATTCTTGTTGTGTAAACGCTTCATCCTCATCGCAGACTGATGCTTTTCATAACCCTTCGTCTTTTAATCCGTTACAGCAGTGCTGGTGGAAAAGAATTCCACAGCCAGTATGGAGATCCATCCTTCATCAATGAATGAACTTCCCACAAAAGCCACTTCATCAAGAGGTAACAAAACCAAATGCCCCCAGGTGTGAAAAATCTGTTTTTATGGAGGAAAGGGAGGTGCGCGAACAAACTGGACTTCGTTCAGATTAGCATTGTGTTGATCACATCTCTACGATCCGCCAAACAATTAAACTACCAACCACTGACGTAGTTTCGAACATATGAGCTCTTGATAGAACCGTCCGTTGAAATTGAGTATTGAAAAATTCAAGAAATGCGCCGATGTTTTCAGATGTATGCAGCCTCAAACCCAGGGGACGTGGGTAGGTCAATGGTGATTTATCACTAGTCGTATATCCGCCAGAGGTTATTAGCAGCAGGCAAGTCTTGATGTGGCAAATCCAATTGCAACCATGGACATTGGGTAACTACGCAGTCTCGAGAACTTCTGGATGCTCATTGTGTTCCGGCTGGAAGCAAATACGAGGAGACTCGCAAAATTATCAGAGCAAAACGCCTTGCTAGCCTGAAGAGAGACCGCGAAACTTGCTGATCTCGTCTTGCATCGGAGATGGAGAAAGCCGCTGTCCTTGGTAATCATCGGAAGTTATTCCGTTTGATACGAGAAACGGGCAGCCGAAAAACTGGTGTTAGCGTGACCATATGTGACGAGAGTTGATGGCCGATCCATAGCTTGCCAAAGTGCTTGGAAAGTTGGGCAGAACACTTTGGAAAGCAGTTCAATCAGCCAAAATTGCCAGCTTCGCCATCGGCCATTGATCGCCCTACTCTCTGGGCCGTCAGCTTTTAATCGGAGACCGCAGCCTAAGAAGGTGACAAGGGCTGAGCAATGTGAGTTAATGTTAGATGGTGTTAAATTCCTCGAGTTTGTCACAGAGTAACATAACCGGCGCACAGATCCCGCCAATACCGAAGTTATCAAACAGATATATCCTTCGAAAAACGTCGCAGAGCCTCAACCAGTCCTCAGTCTCGTGAGTCATTGAGGTGTTTTCGTACTAAGCCTGCATCAAACCAGAGGTCCGCTGAACCAGTTGCTGACGAAAGATAACCTTTGGCAATGGACTAAGGAATGCCAGCAGTCCTTTGAAGCAGTTAAAGCAGCACTCACTTCTGATCTACTATCGACTCATTTCAATCCGAACTTTGAAATAATTGTTGCCTCAGACGCTTTCGATTATGGTATAGGCGCCTTTTTCCGAACGGAGGAGAGAAGGCTATTGCACAAGTGGCGCGGTCTCTAAGGTCGGCTGAGAAGTCTATAGTCAGATTGAAAAGGAAGCACTCACAATCGTTTTCGCAATGAAGCGATTCCACAAGATGCTCTATGGCAGGTGTTTCACCCTCTTGACTGAACATAAGCCATTGAAGTCGATATTCGACTCAAAGAAAGGAATTCCCGTTTTTACCGCGATTCGGTTACAAAGATGGGCGACCATACTGTTGGCGTACGATTTCAGTATACAGTATCGAGCTACGCAACAAATCGGCCAAGCGGATGCTTATCTCGTTTCATCGACTCGTACCCAAAGAAGAAAGATGACTGTGTGATTGCAGCCATCAACTTCGAGTCAAGTCAAGTGAGTCTTGACCGATAATGTAGGATGATTACCAGTAACAGCTGACATTATTCGCGCGGACTTCTCGAGACAGAACCCTAGAGAAAGTGATGCTTTAAGTGTAAAGAGGTTGGCTAAAAGGGGGTATCCCTGCTGACTTGCGGCCTTTCTTCAACCGACGTGGATCACTGTCCGTTGTGGACAATTGTTTGATGTTTGGAGACCGAGTGGTGCTGCCAAAGAAATTGAATAGGCAAGCCTTACAGTAGTTTCATACCGGGCATCCAGGTACCAACCGTATGAAAGTCTTGGCACGCAGTTTGTTTATTGGCCGGGAATGGATTCAGAAATTGAACGATTCTGCCAACAGTGTGAATCCTGTCAACTGAGATTGAAGGCCCTTCTTAAGTGCCCCTTGCGACCTTGGCCCAAAGCGGAGAAGCCATGGCAGCGAATTCACTTAGACTATAGAGGACCAATCGCCAGTCAATCCTATCTTGTTTTGGTGAACTGTTTCACTAAGTGGCCCGATGCAAAATCCGACTGCACAGCAAACAACGACCAACGAGCTGGATAAGCCGTTCCAGTATTTCGGACTGCCAGAGATGATAGTGACAGACAACGGTGCACAATTCGCATCAAATTCCTTTCGCTTCCTACCGCGCTGCACTGCTACATGAACGCGCACTGACGATGTCCCCTCGGGTCACTACGAAACGTTTGCAGCCAAACAGCCGAGCTCAGCGAACACTCAGACAACCAACTGAACAACCTGAGCTACCATTTGCTTCTATATCACAAAAAGGAATTCAGCACATGTTCTCACCACCCAATCATCCGTAACCAAACGGACAGGCAGTACGGTTCATGGATGCCTTCAAACGTGCTCTTTGTAAAGCGGGACAAAACAAGGTCCAAAAGGATGCGATCCAGTCTTTTCTGTGCATGTATCAGAATGCGCCAAACCCAAACAGCCCAGATGGAAAAGCCCCTGCCAAAAATTTGTTTGGACGAAAGATCCGGACATTGTTCGATAACCATGTGTCAAACAGGAAAGAAAAGCACTGCAGTTGTCAAGTGCAGGAAAATCTGACAGACAGGCTCTGTCATTGCAAAACTGGTGACATGGTGTACGCGCCAGACTTCCGAGGACCAATGAGGTGGTCGACAGGAAGAGTGATCGGCAGGAAGAGTCGAGTCAATTACGAGCTAATGGTAGGAAATGAGAAATGGGTCAGGCACGCCAACCAGCTGAGGCTGAACCAAGACAAGACCCAAAGTTCCCCAGAAGCGCCATCCTTACCATGGGACATGGTGCTAGACAAGTTTGTTTTGGTAGATGAAACTGAGTGGCTACGTGGATCACAACAGAATCTGCAAGCACCAGATGATACACAATGCAGGCCGACCCGAAAGCGGAGACGACCACAATGGCTACAAGTTGACCTCAAGGCGAAAAACTATGAATAAAGTCGAACTCGAATGGTACGCAAGCAGACTAAATTCGTAAGAGGAAACAATCGGAAACCTCAGCCTAAGAACGTGACACGGTTTCGAGACGTCAGTCATCATCACCCGAGTTGCTACCTGGCCGGTGGTAGAACGGCTAAGCCACGCCGGAAGCTGAGGAAATCAGTTCGTCCTCATGACAAGGGTTGTCACCCGGCTGGTCGTAACAGGACTGTTACGCGGGAAGCTGATGAAATCGGTCCGCCATGACACAGATCGCTACGCGACAGGCGTGAGTGGGTGCGAATACAGCAGCGAAATCCGCAAGCAGGTTTGGAATCTGGCCAGGCAAGTGGTGTGAGTTAGCTCAGGAACGTACAACCGGAGATGATAGAATGTGACCTATAAAGTGAACCGTGTTCTGTGCCTAATACGCTTCAGTCTAGCAGGCACGGTGTTTTGTTTTCCCCGGCTAGTTGGCAGCGCAGGGAGCAAAGGAGACGGCAGCGTTACAACACCTTGGATTCGCACCTCACGCGCAAAAAGTGAACGTGAGATTAGACGCATGAAACTGAAAGGGTCACCGGAGCAGCAGGACTTAAACCAGTTCTCTTCAAATTCGGACCTTCACTTTCGGACAAGTAACATAACTTTCTAGTGAATTTAGAGGAGCAGGAGGCTGTTCCAAGAAATAAAAGCCGCTCCGTTATAGTCCCAATTTTCAAGGGAGGCTCCCGTTTAAAATGCGCCAGTCATAGAGGAATTAGTCTGGTCTCAATTGCCTCTAAGTTACATGCGTTTGTCGTCTTTCATAGGCTGAATGGCACTCCTGAAAGCCAGATGCGCGAACCGCAGGCTGAGTTTGGTCAAAATCTAGGCCGCAGTGACCCCATCCTCAATCGCTGGAGCATCGCCATGTTTACTGGCGACCTACCGTGGTCGTGTTCCTAGACATCGAAGGGGCCGTCGATTCGGTTGATTGATGTGCCCTTTGGGACTGTCTGCTAACGAATGGGTGTGCCTGACAAATATGTAAATGTCGTA